AGAATCCTGAGCAAGTACCCCTTGATATCTGCTGTCCGTGTGCAGGTCGTAAAGCCTCATATGGCAGTGCAGGGTCCAGTCGACTATTTGGGAGTTGAGATTGTTAGGTATAGAAGCATTGATATACAAACCTAAGCTTTCCAGGAATCCTTGTCGTGCTGGGTTCTCTAGGCAGTGTCTTTCTTCTGTATTTGGATATGGACAGCTTCCAATGTCGCTCAATCGATATCGTCTGATTATTCTTGATAATGAATCTTCTGCTACTTGCATTTATAATATTCTTATTGGCCAGAGGCTCCTATAATCTTATACTTGATGTTATTGAATTTAATTAAAATTCTTGTTGGATGAAAATTTGTTAATAATCACAAAATTTCAACCATGTGTAAATGGAGTAACAGGAACTAATATAACAATTACACAAACCTACGAGCAATGGCTTCAGGATGAGAAGACACAGATCAAGATAAATCATAAATATTAACATAAAAACAGTATTTAGAATTCAAGTTAATATTTTTCTTCTTCTTTGAATATCCAACTTTTTCTGCAGTATAATCTGAGCTAGATTTTGTTTTCCCTCTCTATTTAGCCCATAAATAACTGTTCGAAAATTTACTGTACTGGGAACAATCCCATCATCCAGCATTTCAGAAATCAGTTTCAAAGCTTCTTCAGACTTACCTACTCTACAGAGACAAGTAATGAACATTGTATATGTCTTGAAATCAGGACACGGTCCATTCTGCTTTATTTCATGGAAAACATTCCAAGCAGCAGTAATCTTCCCCATTCTCACATACCCACAGATCAATGATGAATACGTAACAATTGTAGGTTGACAACCGGCCTTTTTCATTTCCTCAAAAGTTTCAAGAGCTTTATTTATCTGTTTTTCCCCAAGGAAGTGGACTAGTAAAGCTGTATATACATGGACAGTAGGACGAATCCCGACCTGTTTCATGGATTCCATCTTTTCCAGTGCTTCTTCTAACCTTCCTCTTCTTAGCAGTCCGTGAACTAAGCTTCCATAGGTGTACTGATCCAGTGTATTTCTTTCAGCCCTGACTTCATTAGTCAAAGATAAGGCCTCCTCCATCTTCCCTGCACGACAGAGGGCCCTAATGTACAATGAATACGTTAGAGGAACTGAAAAACAACCAAATTCGCGTAAAGATTCTATACAGGATCTGGCATCTGACAGTTTATTAACTTCACATAAACAGCCAAGATAAGTTTCCAACAATTCTTTATCAGGAATGCATCCCACTTGAATCATTTCTTGATATATTTGGATTGCTTCATCAACTTTTCTGCCTTTTTTTCCACAAAGAGAGATGATCAAATACTTATACGAGCTTTTGGTTGGTTTACAGCCACTGGACTTCATCTCTCTGAAGTTATTTAGAGCAATATCCGTCAAGCCTGTTCGACCATACAGCATTATAATGATTGTCCATGTATCAGATGTTATTTCGCAACCTTTTCTCCTCATCTCATAAAAGAGAGTTTTCATCTGTTTAAAGTTCTTCCCCTGACCTGCAACTTTCATGGCAATGTTGTATGATTCTGTGTTGTGACTATAACCAGTTTGCATCCCGACCCAAGTGAAAAATTTTATGGCATTAGCATTGTACAGACTGCAATTACGCAAAATTTCCACAACAAGTTCCGTTGTAAATTGCACAGAACATTGCTCCAATTTTTCTTGTATAAAGCACCAATCCTTTGAGGATGATAAAATTTGACAAACTTCACGTACATAATGTTTAGAATGTTCACTAAAAGATTTGAACGCCGCCTCTGGCAAGTAGTGATCCAGCCGAAGGTGCTCTACTTCACGCTCAAATTCCGCACTGCTTTCTGGTTGACTACATAATTCAGTGTTCGGTGTCTCATTTTCAGCAGGACAAAATTTACGAGCTGTCAGCATCCGTTTTATCTCTTCTAACTTCCCCAACTCTCCTTTCTTATCCATATGAGACAAAAGCTGTGTGAATATATTGTCTCCAATGATTATTTCGGAAGCCTGCATTTCATTCAAAGCTTTGATGATCTCATCTGTTGCAGAAACTTTACATAGCTCCTTTATGTATACGGCATATGATTTGGGAGTTGCCTTGATTCCTTTCTCCTCCATGCTCTTGAACACCTTCCATGCGTCAGAAATGCAATTTTGTCTAACATAGCCTGCAGCCACAGCAGTTAGTGCCACACCATCCAATTCAATTCCTGTCTCAATCATCTCTTCATAGAGCTCCAAGGCCTTTTCAAACTCGTTCTTCTGGAAGAGATGTTGCATCAAATTCGTGTAGGTAGAAACTGTTACACGTCCAGAGTGCTTTATTTCATGGAAAAGATTAAATGCCTTCGAAACATCATTTCTTCTCAAATACGTGTTTATAAGGATCCCATAAACATTTCCATAAAAAATATTCCTTTTCTTCATTATTTCGACTATCTCCACTGCATCCTCAATTCTATCTGCTCTGCAGAGCCCTTTGACCAATGTTTCAAAACTTTCAGAGTCAAGGTCAATGTTCTTATTCTTCAAGTCACGAATCAATTCTAAGGCTTCTCTAATTCTCCCTGCAATGCAGAAACTCTTTAGCATGAGACCATAAGCATGATGTTTGGGAATCTCAGAAACTCTTATCATGTCATCGCCAACAACACGAACTGCAGCAGCATCTCCAGATAGTGCCAAACATTTCAATAACTGTTTATACAAAGACAAATCTAACTCCATTTCTTTATTTACCATCTCCTTGTAGAACTCCAATGCAATGTTGGCTTCTCCGGCAGTACAAAGTGCCCGCAACATAATTCTGTAAGTCATCCCATCAGGTTCAACATTGTTTTTTTTCATCTTCTCGAAGATCAACAAACCTTTGCCAATCAACTTTGCTTTCCCATAATGAGACATGAGAATGGTCCATGTCTTAACATTTTTCTCACATGAATTCATTTCCATTTCCTGTAACAACTCCTCGACCAACGCTAACTCCTTGGCTTCCCCAGCTATGTAAATCATTGTATTATAAGTCCCTATTGTGTGTTGAAACCCTGCTTCCAGTTTCAACCAATTGAAAAACCTTAAAGCCAAATGAGGAACCTTGAAGCACCTTTTCAAAACCTTGTCAACTATCTCCTCCGTGTATCTAAAATCCGCATTTTTTAACTTTTCCTCCATTGAGACCACACCATTTTTACCTCTTACAATTCCTGTAATTTGATGAACAACAGGACTAACATCAATCAATTCATTTCCACTCAAGATTTCCATTTGGGCATCCTCTAATCTCGACAAGCTATCAACATTCCTTTTTTCCATTTTCTTACCGGTATTTTCACAAACACCTTGCAAACTATCAAACGCCTTTACAACAGTTTCTTTCTTAGCCGACTGGATTGCTTGGAACACTGAAAACCCAGATGAGTTTTCGTTTTCATCTGTCGTAAGATTTTCAGTTCCTAAAATACCGAGGATTTCATTGAAGAGCGGGCCAAAGTTCATGTTTTCTCTCTGGTTTTTCAAGCGGGTATGCGATGTATCAATATTTTTCTTATTTTGAAGCCTGCTTGAAGATTTATTGGAGAGAATTGAAAAGTAAAATTCTTGAGCAACATCGCTCCGATCGTTATTCAGCAAATTGTTGCAAGAAGCTGAACGTAAGAATCCACGTCTAAATAAGTTCCTCATTTTGCTGAAATTTGGCCCTCATTGGATTTAATTATAACGGCGAAATTGTATTATTTTAAAGAATGAATGGTGGAAAGTTTTTAATTTGTGTATAATATTATTTTATGAAGAGCTTGTTTGGTAGAATTTAAAAGTAATTAAAATTAATTTTTTGATCATTATATTTACTATTTCAGTCATCATCAGTCATCATTTTGAATTTTACTCTCATAGGTAGGACTCATTTTCTCTCTAACGATCAAAAATCAATTATCAAAATTTCTACCAAATAAATACTAAATATTGTGTCATTAAAAATAGGAAAGGAAAAAATTAAATTAAATTAAATTGAAGAATTTTAATGGGGGCCAAATGGTTCAGGGAATTTCTCGTTTAGCCCATTATCTCTCTCTCTCTCTCTTTTCGTTTTGTTTTTTGTTTTTTTTAACTCATTTTTAATCAAGTATTCTCATCTTAAAATATTTTACATGTAAATTCAATTTTTTTTTTTAAATTTTAACCACACATTCTAAATGCTTAGCCCGCTTGATACCTATGTTTTTAAAAATGCATTTCTCTTTCTTTTCTTTTCAATCACACATTCTTTATTAAAATAATATTACACGTAAATCAAAAAATTTCCTTATTTTTTAACTACACATTTTCCATCAATTTACTTTTCTAAAATGTATTTTTACATGAAAATGGGTATCAAACACCATCTATGAAAACTTTTAGCTCCTACTTGACAACCATCATTTCGAGTAATTTTTTTAAGAACGTGCAATTAAAAAGTAAAAATATTTTAAAATTTATGTATAAAATATTTTATTACAAATGTGTAAATGAAAATAAGTGTGTTTAGCTTCTTTAAGTTTTTAAATTGTTTGCTACAGTATCATTATTTACCATATATTAATAAAATAAAATATTTTACACACAAATCAATAAAATTTCTTTATTTTTTAATTATACGTTTTTTTAAAAATATACTATTCAAATTTCTTTAATTTTCCAAATAATTAGTGACAAACAGGTTAGTCTCGTTTGGTAGCAATTTTTCATTCAAAAAATTAATTTTTTATCGTTAATTTATAATTTTAACCGTTATTTTCTACTTCTTCATTTACAAATGAGGTTAATAATAAAAAATCAATTCTCATAATTTAAGGGGTTAAGTATAGAATGAAAGAGTCGTAAAATAATATACTACACCTTCATTATCCAACGTTTGGATTGACACCTCAGCTCTGAATTTCAAATAACATTTTGAATTTCAAATCTCGTATAACGGCCAAATTATCGCCTCCTGCCCCACGCACCCCAAATTCCCCCTTTCACCAAACAGTAGCTTTTGTTCATAAAATCCCGCTATCCATACCAAAATTCTTCATCTCTGCTACTTCTGTGTGCTTGTATTTGTGGGGGAAAATGGCAACTCTAACACCAGGAATCCTACTCAAACTTCTCCAATCCATGAATTCCCATACAAGAGTTACCGGTGACCACCGTTCGCCGCTCCTTCAGGTCATTGGGATCGTGCCGGCCCTTTCGGCCGCCGATTCGCTCTGGCCCCACCACGGGTTTTACGTGCAGCTCTCCGACTCAATTAACTCCACCTACGTTTCACTTTCAGACCGAGACACAGATCTAATCCTCACAAACCGGCTCCAGCTCGGCCAGTTTGTCCACCTAGACCGGTTTATCTTCGATTCCCCTCCAGTTCCGGTAGCCGTCAATGTGCGTCCAATTGCCGGGCGCCATTCTTTTGTTGGAACCCCTGAGCCCTTAATTGCCCGCATTTCACCTTCCAGAAATGGATTTGTTATTCAGCCTGTATCAGATTCCGATTTTTCTGGGAATCCTATTGCAGCCTATTTGTCGAGAACCGGGAAGAAAGATGCGGATTCCGGTTTAGTAACTAGCGTTGCTGATGAAAAGGCAAGCAAGGCTAGCAGGCAAATGAGTGCTCCGAAGGAGAATGTGAATGTGAATATGAGTTATGAAGGTGAACAGGGTAGTAACAGTAGAACGGGTTCGGAAAAGGGTTCGAAGAGGTTTTCGTCCCCAGGGGCATTGAAGCAAAGATCCGTGTCCGCTGGGAAGAAGGCACCAGGGGCGGAGAGGGATCCATCGCCAGCTGGGAAATCAGGGAAGAGGTCTGCTTCCCCTGTGCCTTCAAAGTGCATGGTGCCGAGTCTTGCTGCTGCGAAGGAGGAAAATAGAAGGACATCAAGGGAAGCAGCCATAATTGTGCCTTCTAGGTACAGGCAACCGTCGCCCACTAATGGGAGGCGGCAGGCCAGTCCGGTAGTGGCGAGGCGGATGTCATTGTCCCCCGGCCGACGGTTGTCTGGTGGGATCAAAGTCACACCAGCAGTAGACTCTTCTGGAAAGAAGAAGATGGCTACTATTGCAGCTGGGATTTCTAAAGTTTCTGAGGCCCTTGTAGGGCCTGCAAAGCTGGGCAGGAAGAGCTGGGATGAAGGACCGGCTCCGGCTGACGGAGGTTCTTCTGAGCAGAAAGACAAGGCTGGAACTAAGAATAGACCGGATTTTCAGGCTATTTTGAGAACTCAGGTTAGATCCCTTTTCAGATTTCTCAGACTAGCTGCTGATTTTTTTATTTGAATTGATAAGTGGGATCATAATTCTGATCTATTCATAAATCAATGTTTGATTTCTTGAATTTTACTTTTTGCGACGATGATCATTGTGATTAGAGTGCGTTAGTTCTCCCTGTTTTAGTTGATGCATATGTTAATTAGCGATAGTTCTCCTTGACATACATTTGGTATATACCATGATTTTGCAGGCTGCTATTTCTAGGCGTTTAAGTGATGTAAATGAGCAACAATCTGATCACGGTTATTCAGATGAAAAACAAAAATCTAACGTGGCTGAGAATCGTCCTTTTGAGAAGCCAAATGAAGCATCTCCTGTAATCACTATTCATGAAAAGAAATGGACTGATGGAAGCATTCCATTGAATGCACTCTCTTCAGGCCTTGCATTGCTTGGGAAGGTATTTTTTGATTTCAAATAATCTGCCAGTATAACAGTAAGTTGTTGTGTTTTCACTGCTTACTTGAATTGCTGTATTTAATTCGCTTGTGTCCTCCAAGGTTGGTGTTGAACGAGCTCATCTAAAATCTAAAGTTGTTAGAAGGGAAACGTATACATATATTTAAATTTAGTTTTCAAGAACCTCCCTCACTGACAATCTGAATTTATATGTTACAATTTGGGTAAACAGACACGGGTGAGGCATTGTCCCGTCTGCTTCGATATTAGTTGAAGAAACTCATCTGAAAGTTCAAATTGTTTGGGAGGAAACACATTTATTTAAATCTAATCTTCAACAATGGAATATAATTAATTATATTTTCATGGTACAGGAGGCTATGCAAAGGAGAGTAGTTGCTTCCACAGCTGCAGCCGAAGCTTTAGAAGAGGCCATTGCAACAGAGTCTATTGTGAGGAGCCTGAGGTGATTATTAATTTCTTTCTTTTTGTCTCTCTCTCTACACAAAATCCTTCCTGGAACAAATGTTTGAATATGTGTTGTTTAAATTAATACGCTCCGGCTTCCAATGCTACTATATATGCAACTCTAACTTGTTCAATATCGTTAGCACACAATTTTTTTCTTCTTATGTTGATTCCAAGTGGCTATTAAGAGGTGTTCAGTTAGGAGTAAAATAAATATTTTCTTATATATTTGGGTGCAAGTACTACAGATTTTAAGGAATGTCAATTTGTCATTTCTAACTTCTTCTAAATATGTCATAAAATAAATTGCAGTTCCCTTTCTAAAATACACTTCAGTAGATGTTGAACCTGTAAACAGTATCATTGCTATAATTCTTGCTGCTCTCTTAGTGTAATTAGTATTTTAATCAATGTCGCTCTGCTTTTATTACGTTTTCATATTGTTTCAACGAAAATGAGATAAATAATTATTTGATTAAAAAGAATCTCATGTATTTTTGATTGACCACAAAGAGGATATTGAAAAAGAACAAAACAATTTTACTCTGAAAGAAGATATTCTAAAAGAACAAAACAATTAAACTCTTAAGATCATTTGATCATTAGAATGGAGAAAATTATGCATTTTTTTTTATGTTCAGATCTTTTAGATTTCAATTCTTATTTTTAATGTTTGGCTCCTTAACTTGGTGATTGTTATTTAAAATATTACAAAAAACTCGAATTAATTGTAATTTACGTTGAATAAAATTCTTTCCCTTGCTATGAAATTAAAGGAATATCTTAAGATGAAATCAAATTCTGTTTTCAAGCTTAGTCAGTCATCTGATTGAATCTTATTATGGTATTCAGGTTTGGTTTCCTTCCCATGCCTTGGTGCCTCAAGTATCTAAAAATTATTAAGTTGTTATTTGCAGTATTGCTTCACTATTTTCTCTTTCTGCATCTTTAATGATTGTTATTTGCTGTATTGCTTCATTTTATTTTTTTTTCTCTTTCTGCAGTTACCTTTAATGATTCATCGACACATTAACCTTTGTTTACCTGTTTACTCTTTGCAGCATGTTTTCAGATCTCTGTATGAGGTCGAAGCCAGAAAATCCTCTACCTACTATTGATCGATTTATGTCAATTTATGAAGATATTGTGAAATCTACAGCAGGGGTTGAATCCGTTGCTATAAATCATAATTTGATAACTCGTCAAAATATCCCAATCGAGCAATCAAAATCGTCCGCCCTTTGGGTAGAAGCAGCTCTGGCTACCAATCTTGAAGTTGTCTCCCTCCTGACTAGCCCAAACTTTGAGACTTCAATGAAATTGGAAGAATCTGTACAGAAACAATCTGCCACCGTACCTGTCAAGAATAATGCAAAGGTGGTTTCATCATCTTTTGTTGGCACTTGGACTCGGGGCAATGGAATGAATGAGACCATTGAACTTGCCAAGAATTTGCAGTCGGAGATGCAAATGTGGTTTTTAAAGTTTGTCGAGGAGTCACTAGATGCTGGTTTTCAGGTCTTTCGAAAGAACAATCCAAAGAATCTCCATGGTGGTCCAATAGCAGGAATTGTATCACAGTTGAAGCGAGTCAACGACTGGTTGGATCGCGAAGTATCTAAAAAGGACGAGTTGATGATGGGAAAGATCGAGCCTCTGAAGCGAAAGATCTATGATTTTCTTATGCAACATGTCGAGCAACGATAAAAAATCGTGCTCGCCTTAATTCGTGATTTTATTTGTTATTGATAAAACTCAAGATTATCTTTTCCTTGTTCAAGCATTTCATCCATCTTTTGAGACATTGATAAATTAGTGAGTTTTCTCTTTTTATTCATTAGATTTTATGATGTTAATGCAACTAATTTTGCATATATGCAACAGGGAAAGAATATATTATGCAAAAATTAAATTATCGCCTGGGCTCCGGTACCGTCCGGCAGCTGGCGACTGCCGGTCAATCGGTATTTATAACATATTAATATTTGATTAACATGAATTGAGAAAGATTCAAAGAATTATCCCCTAAGTGGGTTGCCACTCCGGCAGTCATGCACATCTCCATTTTTATTTCTTTAATTTCAATACACGTAGTTAAATATTGATCAATAATCCAATGAAAATGCAGTGAAGAAAAAGAAATTTAAAATCTTATTTAGTATTTTCTTTTTCTTATAAATTTAGTATAGTTTTAGGTGACGACCGTCTCAAGACTTGGTCTAAACTCATAAAATTTTATATCACTATTAAATAAAAAAAAAATTAGATAATTAAATGTGCAATATTTTTAAAAAAAAAATCAGATTTTCAGATGGGATGATTTATAATATATTTAATAATACGAAAGTTTTGAGTTCAAGACGCACATTAAATCATGCACACTATGCATAGGAGCATGTCGAAAACAAAATTTAACTACATATTCTTAAGAGACTAAAACTTTTATATTAATAGATTTACTAATCGGAATTGCTTAATTAGTACTGTGTACGAAATTTACCCTCACAAAAATTTTAAAATGTTAAATAACAATTACGTAAAAAGGTCCTTTTTAACTATAATTAAAAAGTAACTTTGTTTTCCTTTCTTAAGTCAGTGATGGTATTGGTATGACTGCGTTTATTTCAAGAAAGGAGGGAGAGAAGAATTCAAAACCTTAATTCATTACCTAACATACGAATCATATAAATGTATAATATATTGAGAGTGAGAATTGGTAAAAGAAGGTTTTCTCACACGATAAGCTCTTCCAATTTTCCAATGGACACTTTCTTATCTTATTCATAGCAGTTGATTCATTCTATTCAGTGTGTGACTTTTTCAATAAATTACCTTTCAGTTTTTTTTTATGGGTTCTTGTATTGACGTTATTTGTAGTTCTTTTGCAGTGTTATAATTTGATACGGAATTGGAATTTTGGATTGATTTATTTAATAGTAGTTTGAACAATAAGAGGATTTTTTATTTTTGATTTTTAATCCTCAATCGGGCATAGTTTCTTTACAAATTCTTGTATATTTGTTAATATGCAGTAGTGTTTTGTCCAGCCTTAATTTTTGATAAATTTCTTAACTTTTCTCATTTAAAGGGTTTTTCCCAATTGTTCTGAATTTTTCGGGATAGGAGTTCTACACACTTGAAGGCATACACATGGAAGAAGTGTTAAAAGAGGTTTATGGTGCTTGAGCTAAATTCTCAATAGTTCTTTAAAGGGAGAAAGAGCAGAAACAGATGGGAAATAATTGTGTTAGTGCAAGGATTTCTGAGGATGGGTTTTTCCACACGATTTCTCATTCATTACGGTGGTCTACATCACCCGAAATGATCACTTATAATGAGAAAGAAATAAGTCAGGAAAGATCTAATGTTACGAAAGAGCCAGAAGTTCAGAATAAGGCCCCGGAATTGGTGAAGATAGGCGAGGAGACCAGGAAACTTGAGACGGCAATCATAGTCATGGAAGAGGGAAAACAAACTGAGGCCAGAAGATGGGAAGAGGTGATCAAGATCACGAATAAGGACAGAAGTATTGCTCAAACCACTATACCGGAACACTTGACTGCGATCATGAACGAGAAGGCTAAACCGGTTCTGCCCCCAAAACCCAAGCAACCTCACAATGTAAAGAGGCTGGCGACTGTTGGTCTTCAGGTGGATTCCGTGCTAAGAACCGAAACAGGACATTTGAAAGAGCATTATAATTTGGGGCCCAAACTTGGAAACGGGCAGTATGGAACGACTTTTCTTTGTGTGGAGAAAGAAACACAAAAGGAGTATGCATGTAAATCCATTGCAAAGAGGAAATTGTTAACCATGGAAGATGTTGAGGATGTGAGGAAAGAAATTCAGATCATGTATCATTTATCCGGGCACCCTAATATCATTTCTATACAAGGTGCTTATGAAGATTCTGTGGCTGTTCATGTTGTCATGGAACTGTGTACGGGAGGCGAGTTATTTGATAGAATCATTAAGCAGGGGCATTATTCGGAGAAAAAAGCAGCCGAGCTTACTAGGACAATAGTTGGTGTAATAGAATCATGCCATTCTTTGGGAGTCATGCACGGAGACCTCAAGCCCGAGAATTTTCTCTTTGTTAACGAGGATGAGGATTCACCCTTAAAGATTATAGATTTTGGATTATCAGTCTTCTTCAAACCAGGTATATCCAAAAATATGATCTTTCTTGATTCATTTTGACTTACTTGTAATCTTCTAACACATATTCATCAGAAATCATATGATTGGATTAATACGTAACAAAAATGGAGACGAAAATAATTATGTATGAATTTTTCACTATGAACCTACAGGGCAAATTTTCACTGATGTGGTTGGGAGCCCTTATTATGTTGCTCCGGAAGTGCTTCGCAATCGTTATGGACCAGAGGCAGACGTATGGAGCGTGGGTGTGATTATTTATACCCTTCTTAGTGGTGTGCCTCCATTTTGGGGTGGTAAGAAAGAGCCATTTTTTCCATTCAAGTTTGATGTCATCTGAATTTTACACAGATAGTTCTCATGCTTCTGTTTGATTTCACCCAGAAAGTGAGCAAGAAATATTTGAAGACGTTTTGTATGGCGACCTTGACTTCTCATCAGATCCTTGGCCCAAAATATCTGAAAGTGCTAGAGACTTGGTGAAGAAAATTCTTGTGAGAGATCCAAGAAAGAGGTTAACTGCTCATGAAATTCTTTGTAAGTTTTATTATTAGTTTTAGCTTTATGGCTAATATATGCGTAAAATTCGACAGATTGAGTTTTAAAGAGAAACTTTTCTAAGCACGAGATGAAAATGAATTAATAATTACCCTTTGTGTTTTTGCTTAAAATACTTGGAACTTTTTATTAAATAAATAGATTACAGTACTAGGTTAACTATCCTTTCGGTAATGTTGAATTAATGTTGTTCAAATTTATAGATTTATTGTTATTTTCATTGTTGGATTGTGTTATGTTGACACGTGATATCGAGTTATGTTTTATTATTTTGGGCATAAAGTTTTGGGAGTCACTATATACCATCGGATATCATTTCTCGAGTCGGTTCTACATTTATTGTTATCCATTCGAACTACTGTTAAGATAAAATTTGAAAAACACTAGAATTGTTAGTTTCCAAGTGCAGAATTTCTTTTAACATATCTAGTTCTTCTATCCAGTTTAAAACTTATTTTCCTCCAGGTCACCCTTGGGTGCAGGTCGATGGAGTAGCTCCCTACAAACCTCTTGATTCTGCAGTTTTAAGCCGCTTGAAACAGTTTTCGGCCTTGGACAAGCTCAAGAAAATTGCTCTTAGGGTATGTTTTTGCATCTTAACCTCCAAAAACGGAGAGCAAATAGATCATTCTTGAGTAAGAGCAATCAAGAATTTCGGATTACTTGAGTGAACTAATTTTTCATTTTATTATTTATGCATACACAATAATATATTTAGGACAGAAGTATAATGTATGTTTCCTATGTTCTTTTAGTGCATGTTAGGCAATCTTCTTGTTATTATGTTGTTCAGTGTGCAATCTTCCTATCAAACACGCACTTAGTTTCTGTGCCTACATTTTTCTGAATCAATTTTTCTGCTTCTAGGTCATTGCGGAAAGTCTCCCCCAAGAAGAAATTGCAGGGTTAAGAGAAATGTTCAAAATGTTAGACACGGACAGCAGTGGTAAGATCACTTTTGAAGAACTCAAGGGTGGTCTAAAACGATTTGGAGCTAATGTTGATGAATCTGAGATATATGATTTGCTAAAAGCCGTAAGTGTCATTTCTAATCTCTCGCTTTACCAAGTTTGCATATAATATGTGACTAGATATCAATAGGATAAAATAGAGGTTTAAACATCGACAGTTTACATTGTATTCGGAATAACAAAAAACCACCACATTTAGCCTCCATTTAGCCCCCAATAAATTCTATTACATTACATTCCATTTTTCTCTCTCCTATTTTTAACTACACAATCTTTCATAAAATAATATTACATGTAAATCGAAAAATTTTTCTTATTTTTAAACCATTTATTTTAAAAAAAAATACTATTCCACGCATTAAGAAAATAGGGGCCATACGGGGGCTTAAATAGGCTTGGCAACACTATGTCACATATCTCTTCGGTTCCAATTCATTTTCTTGACTGCGCAGGCAGATGTTGACAATAGTGGTACAATTGACTATGGTGAGTTCATTGCTGCAACGTTGCGTCTGGACACGATTGAGAAGGAAGATAATCTATTTACAGCATTTTCATACTTCGACAAAGATAGAAGAGGTTACATTACACGAGATGCACTTCAAAAGGCTTGTGAAGAGTTCGGCATGCAGGATGTTCACTTGGAAGAAATTATCCAAGAAGCTGATCAAAACAATGTAAGGGCTTCTATCGTTGCTTTAACTTTATAATCTTGCTCTTAAAATGTTAAAACATAAACCATAGTTGATCTCAAATGACATAGTAAAGTAGACATGTCGATCTCCAATTCTTTTCGTTTCAAATTTTATATTTGAATAAGAAAACGAAAAAAACGAATGATCAAAATTTTCAATTCCCGTCCAATCCCTATTTAGTCTAATGTAGCATAACAGTGTTTTGTCCTATTAATGTAGATGTTCCATAACTAAAGGTTTCTTATTATTTAGTTATTTACTTAGTATTTGGGTGTTCATCCACCGTAATAAGTTCTTATTTTTTATTTTTCAGGATGGCAGGATAGATTACAATGAATTTGTGGCCATGATGCATAAAGGAAATACGGATTCAGGTAAGAAAAATCTACAGAATAATATTGATATTGGATATAGGGAGGCAATGCAAGTCTGTTGAACTGTATAGAAATCCATTAGTGTTGAGCATCGAGAAATAGTTAACTAGGATTATTTTCAAGAATGTTGGATATTTATGATTCTATGATCACAAGGAAATAATGTGTCTATTATTTCGAAGTACTCGTGTTCCAATAAGAATTCCATATTCTGCATTTCATGTCTCTAAAAGATCGATTATATATCTTGCCGTCGGTCCAATTTTTGTTATTGATGCTTGACAATATTCAATTTGGAAGTAAGCTAAATGCTACCCTCAAACCTAATGGTTGGCTGGTGTAGGAACTTAGAAGTGAAGTGTAGCCTGCTACACGACCACATTGGTTGACACATCACACACACATGGGAGCTTGACATTATTTTATTCGCGCGGGACCCACAGTTCGGCTGTGAGAAGTGTGTCAACCTTTGTATCAAACAATGTGGTTGAGTAGCATTTTTCTTTTTCCATTTGCCAAACAAAGAATAAAGTCGACAGAAGTCCATTCATTTCACAACTAATAATTCCATGTGAGCCAGCTCACTTTACTATTGCGATGTGATTAAACAATAAATTATTAGAGCATACAAAAACATGATAAAATTCTTAAATAAAGATATTCCTCATACTGAATCATGCCAAACAGCCCCTTAAAGACAATTGAAGATATCTTTTCACTTGTACCATCCACAACTTTCTCGTCTCATGTCAAAAATATAGGGCATGCAAACAACTACTAGAGTTTAAAATCCATTGTCAATTGGTTTGGTTGAACTGAGCTTTCATTCAACTCGTGTTCATCTCGACTGCGATGAATTTTATTTTCAAAATTTGTAGTCATAATTTTGATTCTAAAATTAATGGAAGCCGAACCGGTCAAAGTAATAATTTTTTAACTGATTATGAGGAGACTTTTAACATGCCAGAGTCTATGGATCATACTTTGAACCGATATGAAGGTCGACCATCCATCGGAGAAAAAATAACAAACAAATATTGTAGAATTCTCAGGAAATTCTTCGATTTCTTGTGAAAGTAAATAATATCTGCTTCTTATATTTCGTGAATAAT